TTCCGGTGAGACAATAGCTTCTGCTTGAATGCACTTATCCGCTTGGGGTAATGGCGCAGATTTTATTTGAGTTTTGGACTACTCTTCCGCCCATTCCCGTGATTTCAGAAATAGCTAGTTTTGTAGGCAGTTATGGCCTATTTTGTGCCCTAGACGCTATAAATGATCGTTGCGATTATCGGTCTATTAAGGCCCTCAGTTTAAACAGTTCTCTTTGGTGTTCGATGGAGACGACTGCAGTGGGTAGTAGTACTCTACTTTGATTTTCGCTGTGTATCGTTTGAGTTTCAGCTTAACCAGTTCTCCTTGGTGTTCGATGGAGACGACTGCTGTGGGTAGTAGTACTCTACTTTGATTTTCGCTGTGTAGCGTTTGAGTTTTTAAGTGTACGCGCATGTGACAGGCAGTTTGTACAAAGTCTTTTTGTTCTTACAAAATTGTTTCGGTCGTTAATATTAAATTTTTTTAATCTCTCGCAAGATTTGAGCTTATGCTCCCCTGTACATAGTTCGCATGACGTTTGTTTGTACTTTTCGGATGTGAACGATTGATTTTTTGAAAAGCCTCTATTTAAATTGTTAGTGCTACTAGCTCGGGGTATGTGGAAGCTTCTATTTAGGTCATGTTGAACGCTTTTCGTACTGACTATTTTTTTGTATACCCTTTCTGCGATATCGGACTGGGTAGTTAGGAAATCTTTCATTTGTTGCCACGTGGGGCATTTTCTTCGTGATGAGAGCGATAGCTCCCATAGAAGTAATGATTTTTCTGCTAATTCCAAAGGACGGCCATTGTTCATAACCACCGTGAAATATTTCTGTGTCACATGTGGGACCTTGAGATGGATGCCTGAACTTGCCTCTTGACTTTGTACTTGTGGCAGCTCTACTCGCTGATGTCGAGTAGGTGCAATTGCTTTAATTAGTTTTAGTTGATCAAAAATCATTTATTTAGTTTCTCCAAACTGTAGACCGAGGATTTGAAATTTTCCAGTAGTCTGAGTTGTCAGATTCTATGATTGCGTCATATGCAGCTTGGAGACGTGACCAAAAATTGTCAAGATTGTCTATTTGATTTCTAATACCGATTCAGAACTGTCCTGAATCGGTGAAGATGCAAATAATGTGTAGTATCTTTGTTTAAATGAGTTTAAACTCCCTCCTTCAAGTGCACCACTCTACTCGGGAAAAACTGACACACCCTAATGCAACACACCACACCAGAGAACAATCACAGGTTCTCACCACTCGATGAAAACACACCATAACACGGCACCTGTACATCTAACAAAAGGGACGGGATCATCGCTTTCACATCATCTTTCGCTTATCGTCTACGGGCCTGAGCGCCACACATACCTTCGCTAAAATAATTCGTTCGGACACCAGTTCCTGCGCGCTACCGCATCAATTCAAGACGACCCCCACGACGTTCGATTCCATCAATTATTATATTATATATATTTAATTTCGTTTCGGAATAAACTAAAATTATTGATTTACCAAGTCACTTGCGTTTGTTTTATATGGAATCGAGTGTTAGTGTTGAATTGTGTATAGATTTATTCAATCTTATTAACCTGTCACTTTCCGAAATTAATTTTGTGTAAGAAATGTCTTTACCTCTTTTTTGTTTTGTAGCACCTTGCTTGGAGCGTGTAGCTTCTGTTTCTGGTGTGCATGGATTTTTTTCGTCCGAAACCATTTTTGTACTTTTAGAGAATGTGTTGTTTTAGACTCTTTTGAGTCTGAGCTCAATTAAAAAGATATGTCGAAATAAATTAAAATATTTTCAGTGTAAGAAATAATTGCATCTCTCTAGCTCCCAGTACACACCTCCATCTATTTTTTAAAACACCATTTGTTCTTTCCACAATAATACTTTCTGAAGATCCTTCTGCCGCCTATCGGTGGGTTCTAATGGAGACCCAACGTCACCCATGAAAAAAATAAAAAATATATATTTTGAAAGATTTAATTAAAAACGTACTTAGTAGACAAACGTTTCTTGTGCCTCGCATGTATTCCTGCTCCATTGAAATCCGTAACGTCGCTACGTTTAAATACTCCCTGAGTTTCACTAAAATACCTCACATACCGTCACCAACATACTCAGGGAGCATTTTATTCTGTTAGTAGTATATGCCATCTGTATTGCCAAAAATGGATAAAATCGGGCCAATACTATACCTATGTATATCTCATATACCTACCATAACATAACATAACAACAGTCTGTGTACAAGGTATCAACAAAAATAACTTGTTGGAAACAACTTGCTATAAAAACCAATATATTTAATATTCCTAAAACGACATTAAATATGTAGTTGTATGAAACTAAAAGTGATTAAATAGAAGACAGTAACTTATAAACAAAACAAAACATACGGACGAATAGAAAATCCATTGGAAAGAGTCTGCGTACAAAGTTTATGAGTCGAATAAAGTTATTAAAACTTCCGCTAAGAGTTTTGGCATGGAATATGCAAGTTTAGAGGTTTTTGTCGAAGCGATGTGAGCCCATTCCTCGTGCAGCGCATCCTTGAGCATATCCTTTGAGGTAATTGTGCGTTGGCGGATTTTACGTACCAGTGAATCTCATTGCACTATTTGGGTTTAAAATCTGATGACGCTCTTTACAAAATGCATCAAGATTTCCTTATCGAGTGCCGTGTCCGTTTTTCGCCATAAAATCATACCCCCCTTGATTCAAAAGACGCAAAATATGATCTCATCCGAAAAAATAACTTTCTGCCAAAACTCCCGCGGCCTATTTAGGTGCTCTTTGACGCCAAGATTATGCACTTACCTATTAACTAGCGATATGAATGAGTTCTTCTGTGCGACTTGACCATAAAACCCTGTGGCGACGGTTTTGTTTCACACTTTGCAAAACGTTACGAGTTTCACGCTGTGCTAGTATTTTTGGCCGCCCTGGACGCGTCGAGATACAGAAACGCCGATATGTTTGTAGTTTTTTTTTATTACTCTTTGTATTGAAGAAAGTTTTCTCCCAAAACCTCGACCGATTTCAGGGTATGTTTTTCGAAAAGTTTAAACATTATTACCCTTTCAGAAGGGCTTTTTTCTTTTCTTCTAGGTGAGATTCGATATTCTAAATTTAATAACAAACTGAGTAGAACAATAATCTTTTAAAATTGCTACTTTTACGAAAGCAAGTAAACTATAGCTATACTATACCTTTCCGAAACTTTTACATTTGGTTGTTACGTAGCGAATTCCCATTTTACAACTTGTACGCTGCAAAATTACTATGTTTTCTAAATGTGTCTATAAAACTATGGTGTCAGATTTTCATTGCTTTAAATGCTATGGGATTATGCTATAGACTAGTAGTAAGGCACTTAATATGATTATGCTCTAAAATTTAATACATAAAAGTTCATAAGATATTATTATGTACGCAGACTTTTTCTGGCGAGTGTTATATATACAATATTATAAAATTACTTGTAAATATGATCTCATACATGACAAAATGTGTGATACTTAAAAATTGTGTGGGAATATGACTGAAATTGGTTTAGAGATTGGTCCAAACCTTGATGTTTTCCCATCAACTCATTATATTAAATTTAGTTTCTTACCATATAACGGGACTTAAAATAAGTACAAAATTTTATTGTAATCTATTTACAATTTCATCGAATAATGAATTTTGCAACATTTTTATACTCTAGCAACCTGTTGCTACAGAGTATAATAATTTTGTTCACCTAACGGTTGTTTGTATCACCCAAAACTAATCGAGTTAGATATAGGGTTATATATACGTAAATGATCAGGATGAAGAGTTGAAATCTGGGTGACTGTCTGTACGTCCGTCTGTGCAAGCTGTAACTTGAGTAAAAATTTAGATACCTTGGTATACATGTTTCTTGGTACCGTAAGACGGACCCACAAAACGCAATTAATCAAAAACAAATTAATTGCCATAACTAAGCTCTACAATAAGATACTAGACTGTTATTTGGCATACAGGATCACATTAGAAACGAACAACTGCAGTTTAAATACTTTTTAAAAAAGTGGGAGTGGTCCCGCTCTCTAACAGATTTAGTGTGCATATCTCCTAGACCGCTAAAGCTATAATAACAAAATTCACTGAGAACAGATGTTTTTAGCACCTCTATCGACAGTGTGAAATTGGGTAAAATTGGCCCACTCCCCATATAACGGTACTGTTAAAAACTACTAACAGGGCTATAAATCAAGCACCAAACACGCCAGAGATAATAAGTTTTAGCTCTGGGATAGTATGAGATGACTTTAAAGGAACCGACTTCAAAATTAGACGGTGAAGGTGGCACCGCCCATTTTTAGGTGAAAACCCATATCTTGGGATCTGCTCAACCGATTTCAACCAAATTCGGTACATAATATTCTGATCATTTATATATACATAACTCTATATCTATCTCAATTAGTTTAAGGTGATATAAAAAACCGTTAGGTGAATAAAACTATTATAAAAAGCTATTGGGATTTTAAGATTTTTCTTTTAAAAGCGAAAGAAAACAAGTAAAAAAGAGCTGAGTTTGGGTAAAACCGAATATATTATACTCATGCAACTTGCAAGAATTAAAGCCGAGGAAATAACTTCAGGTGTTAGGAAAAGTTGAGATTAAAAATTTTGCGAAACAATTCAACATTCGTTATTTGACGAAATCGGAAATGGATTACAATCAATTTTGGAATTTTATTTATATTATAGGTATATATAATATAAATAATATAGGTATATATATACAGTTATGGCATTTTATGGGTGTTCGGTTAATGGCGTTTTGTGGGCGTGGCAGTGGTTCGATTATCACCAGTACCAGTCACTTGGATTTCAACTCGTCTCATCATCCTGATCATTTATATACATATATATATAAGCCTAGATATATCTCGATTAGTTTTAGTTACCATTAGGTCACCTTACTAAATCTATATATACATATATTAAAATTAAAATTAATTTATTTATAGCTGTCCAGAAAAAATGATAAAGAAAGTAAACTGTTCCAAGGAAAAGATACAACTGAACGTCCCAACTGGTCAAACGGGTTAGAATTTCTCATGTCATGCATTTCTATGTCTGTTGGACTTGGGAATGTATGGCGATTTCCTTTTACAGCTTATGAAAATGGTGGAGGAGCCTTTCTTATACCATATATTATCGTTCTCTTCATAATAGGTAAGCTTCTATATAATATATAATAAAATAACTGCTAACATGTTATATTTAATTTCATTTAAGGAAAGCCAATGTATTATCTCGAAATGATTTTAGGTCAGTTCTCAAGTAAAGGTTCGGTGAAGATTTGGAGCATTTGCCCCTCTTTCTTAGGTATGTAGTTATTTGCACTTCATTAATGATAATTTTTAAACGGATTTTATATAATTATATTGTTTTATTTGTAGGCATAGGGTATGGTCAAGCGTTCGCTACAATTTGCATTATCACTTACTATTCATCTCTTCTGGCATTGACATTATACTACCTGGTAGTTTCTTGTCAGTCTGTACTTCCGTGGACATATTGTAGAACCGAATGGGGTGACAATTGTGTTAATTCTAATCCAATTGGAGGTGTGAGAGAAAGCAATATTGAAAACCCGTCAATGCAACTACAAAGCAGTTCTGAACTTTACTTTTTGTAAGTTTTAAAACAAGCGCCTCAATTACTATGTACAAGTATATCGTTTTATAATATACTAATTAATCAACAAAATATTATATATCATTACATAGAGTATATATTTATTATTTATTATATTTCCTTACAACAACAGAAAAGAAGTTATAAAACAAAAGGAAAACATTGCGGATGGGCTAGGAATGCCAGATTGGAAATTAACTTTAACACTTTTTGTGTCCTGGGTTGTAATTTTCTTGGTCATCATGAGAGGCGTAAAGAGTTCCGGCAAAGCGGCTTATTTTTTGGCTTTATTTCCTTACGCAATACTCGCCGCATTACTAGTGCGGGCAGTTACTCTGGAGGGAGCGGCAAAAGGAATAATGTTTTTCTTGGAACCTAATTGGCATGAACTACTTAATCCAAAGGTATTATCAATCACATTTATAAAAAAGTTTAATAAAAATCACCCAATAGGAATTATTACGTTGAAAAAAAAAATTAAAGCCTTGAAAGGGTGTGCCATTAATTTGAATTATAGATGCATTTATTGTAATATATACTATACACGTACATATACATACGATTATATTACATTATTAAAGAAGAATGGTTCCAGATTACAGCTGAGGAAACAGATAAGTTGGTAAGATCAATGTCAAATCGATTGAGTGAGGTTTTAAAACAACGCGGCTATCAATTTAATTTTTCTTTATCATTTTTAATATTTTTGTAACTAATTCTAAAGCTGAACGCAGACTTAATGGTTACTATGTTTACTTGTTCTTACACTAAAATCACGTTATCACTAAAATGAAAATAGGAATATACATTTTTGTTTTTGCATTTTGAACTTAAGAATATAAAGAAGAAATACATGCAGAAAACTTGAACTGAATTACCTATTTACATTGTGTTTTTACTTCACTTAAAAAAATGTGTCGGGTGAACGCAGACTTTATTGGCTATGTGTATGTATATGACCGGGCCGATTTACAGGGAGCCAAAAAATGGAAAAATCGCATATGCGGAAAATATTCTACGGATCATTCCGAACAACTTTGCCCAAGAAGCTATGGGTCTAAAACCGGTTTCGAGCCAACGATTGGCAAAATTTAGCTTTAGTGATTATAACATGTAGTCATCAGTTTTTGAGATATCTAAATAATATTTGATATATGTATGTGTGAATTTTGATATTCTATTGATCATTTGCCGGCATCGGCCAGACCTGAAAACTATATCACATATCTCCCATTCAACCGACTATTCATATACTTCAGAAATTTTTGAATTTATATAGGACTTTTGAGTTAGGTTTAGGCGTGAACGTCAATTATCCAAAAATAACTTAGAGCTTTGCCTTATTTAAATACTTAAATATTGTATTGTAACATACAAAAAAACGAAACAATTACTGAACAGATGCGATATGTTAAAAGGAAACAGAATGATGATTCTTACTTACCAGATTTTTGTAGCCTTAATTTACAAAGGAGAAAACAGTTGACAACCCCGACCCCCTCGATTATGTTGATAACATTACGTTACATGGGGAGTGGGCGTAGTTATTATCTGTTTTTACCTATTTTCACAGTGTATGAAGAAATACTAAAAAGGCTTCTCAGCAAGTTTGGTTGATTTAGCTTCAGCGATTTGGAAAGTATGTACATTAAACCATTCACGAGGTGATGCCACGCCTACTTTAAAAAATGCCCATAGGTGTCCCTCGCTACTATATCTATTTTCACAGTGTATAAAGAAAGACTAAAAAAAGGGTTCTCAACAAGTTTGGTTGATTTAGCTTCAGCGATGTGGAAAGTATGTACATTACAACATTTACGAGTCGATGCCACGCCCACTTTAAAAAATGCTCAGCCCATAGGTGTCCCTCGCTACTATGATCTCCTGTATCAAATTACAGTTTTATATCTTAATTAAGAGGTTAGTTATGTCACTTTATTATTTCGATTAACAGCACTTTGTGGGCGTGGCAATATACTGATTCCGCCTATCTGCATTAAGTGAACAAAACAATTATACTCTCTTTTTCAACATGTTCAGAGAGTATAAACATGTTGCGTTAGAATTCAAAACTTATTATTCGAAGCCTGAAAGGATTGCAATCATATTTGGTATCTCATTAACTTAAGTGATAAGCTGAATACAACACGGCGAAGTATGATTTTTGAGTGTGCTATTCTATCGGCTGTATCTGCTTACTTTTTTTTATTGTTGACGTTTAAGTGTCTAAAATTAAGAAATAATAAAAATACATTTCATCAATTTCTTTAATAATTTGGAAGGAAGCCACGATATTCAGCTAAATTAAGTTAAAGAAAAGTAAAATATAAAAATATTTTGTTTTTTCTGTGGTTGCAATGTGAACCAAAATGCCGCTGTTTCAATAGAAAGAAGCTTTAATTTTATTTTTGTCACTTTCCCGTGGCAGTTTTGTATTATTAAGTTTTCATAACCGGCTGGTGAAGTGTATAAATATTACATAATATGACATACTTGTACAACAGTTAAGGGGTGCTCACAAGTGTCGTATTTTTTAAGCTATTGAAATACGACATAAGACATAAGACGAAGCTTGTGAATTGCCTAAATATATTAATCGATACTTGATTTGTATACAGTAAAAGGAAAGAATCAGATGGAACTTTAAATCTGTTTTATATGGGATGCAAGTGCGGTTGCAGTCCGATTTCACCAATTTTCGTGATGTAGGAATTGCGGTAATGGTATGTACCGAAGTTGGTTGAAAGTGGTCGAGCAGTCCTGAGATATGGGTTTTCACCAAAAGGAGGTAGTGCCGCGCCCATTGTCAAATTTTTGCACTGGCTTCTTTAATCCGATTTCAACCATTTTATCCCTGTCGGAGTAGGTGCCGAAAATATTTGTCCTGAGCTATTGTGGGTGATGTAGCTTAAGTGGTTTGGAAGATATGTACATCAAACTTATTAGGGGGCTGGGCAATTCTCTTTTTCAAAATTTGTAAAAATAGCTAATGCGATTCGTTTTACTAAATAAAAATATATGTGGGTATCTTATTGGAGATTTCAATTCAGCTATAATATTATATTACACTATATAACGTGGTTAACAGAGATGTTTTCTCTTAGCGAAATGTTTTCCCCGTTAGTGCCGATGTATGCCACAAATAGAATTAAATTATTAAAATATTTTGCATATTTTGATATTTATCTGAATGAACCGATTTCATCTGTTTTTAGGATAAAATCAAAGACATTTGCCGAATTTTATGAAATATATAATCTTTGCAATAAAATTTATTTGATTATAGTCTAAAAACGGATGAAAGTAAGCCAGTTATTTACAGAAGTATGCCATTAAACATAATAAGAGTGATTGTTGCATTTAATAATGGTAATTTTCATTGAGTACTTTTATATAGTAAATTTTATGCATATTTATTACATATATTATATGTTTAATATAATATGTACGAACCGAAATCTTTATGTTTTTTTTTTGCAGGTGTGGAAGGAGGCTGTGGTACAATGTTTTTTCTCTCTGGCAGTTGGACTTGGTCCAATAGTTATGTTTTCTTCTTATAATCATTTTGATCACGGCATTTATAGGTAAGCTAGAAAATAGCCATTTAAGTTTATATTTGCCTAATTGTGTACAAATAAAGAACAGTCATAGGATGAAAATATAAATACATAGTATATTATCAATTATTTTCAGGGACGCTATGATAGTTACAACATTAGATACCTTTACAAGCTTACTGGCTGGTGTATCTATTTTTGGTATTCTTGGAAATTTGGCTCATAACCTTCAAATTACAGACATCAAAGAAGTCGTCAAAAGTGGTACTGGTCTTGCATTCATTTCCTATCCGGATGCCATTGCCAAATTTCAAGCAGTTCCACAGATTTTCGCCATACTTTTCTTTTTTATGCTGTTTGTATTGGGAGTTGGATCTATTGTGGCGCTACACTCTACTATTGTCACTATAATATGCGATCAATTTAAATCACTTCAATACTGGAAAGTAGCACTGCTGACATGCATATGTGGGTTTCTTGCGAGCATAATATACGTTACACCGGTAGTGACTATTGACTACTAGATATTTATGTAATAATAATATATATTTTCAACTTTCAGGGAGGTCAATGGATATTAAATTTAGTGGACTTTTATGGAGGAACTTTTGTTATTTTTGGTCTAGCGATTTTAGAAACAATCAGTATTTCATGGATATATGGTAAGCTTACCAAAGTCTTTATATACACATATGAGGGCAACTGGCAATGTCGAAAAAAGAATTCAGTTGATTCCCCAAAAGTTTATATATAACTACTGAATGATGAACGAATAAAAAGCAATTTTAATTTATAGAAAGTTGAAAACGTGGTCAAAGGGAGTAAGAAATTTTAGCAAGGATTTCACTACATGTCGCACAGAGTATAATAGTTCTGTGTTATTGAGATATATTATATAAAGAGATATATCTACATATATAAATGATTAGGATGACAAGACGAGTTAAATTTGCAACAGGCGTGGCACCGCACAGCTTTAAATGTAATCCCATATCTCAGGAACGATTCGACCAATTGAATTGAATATGAGAGGTCTAGTGCTGAAATCGGGATAAATTGTTTTTTATGATAACAGCATGATCTTGTGCCATAAATTGATAAAATCGGGTCAATACTATCCCTTTATATATTATAAATATTATATATTCGAACTTCCGGTTCACTTTATACAAAGTATATCGGCCAAAATGTGTGTTTAAAACTGAAATTGTAATTGTGTGAGTAACATATACGAAATTAAAATGCCCGTGTCACCAAGTGTATAACAAACAATTTATTAAGACAATTTTAAACTTTAAATAATTGTTATTTTTCCTAAGATCAAATATTTATTTGCTTAGTTTATTTGTACATTTCGGAGGCTGATGCAGGTATACGGATTGAACGAAGCCGTATCGCTTTGGATCAAAAAGGTTTATAGCGGGCCGGATTGCTGTTGTAATCGGAAATTGTTGACGTGGTTCTTGGGATAGTGGATGAATCGAATTGTCGCATGCTTAAAAACTAACGTTGTAGGCTGACCTGTTGCCCATCCTTTTTGATGAGTAGGGTAGTGTACAGGTACGATGTATATTGTTTGCGAGTGTGGCGTCATCGACTATGGTGTTTTCTAATTTGTGGTGTATTGGTGATGTGGAGGGTGCGCCAGTTTTTGCCGCGTAGAGTGGTGTGTATGTGTAGGGGAAGCTTATCTTATTTAAACAATTTACACTCTTTCTAATAACTGTGATTTATACCGTATATATCGATCAATACAAGTATGTAGGATATCTAAGCAAAATTAAGTGAACCTATAATATTGGATTTCGGCACTAGCCGAAAATGTGTGAAATCAGTCTACAAATTACCCCAGCTCCTATATACTACTTATGTATATACAAATGTACATGATTTTTACTTTTCTTGCAGACTTTATACGAAATGTGTCGGTTTCTACAGTTTATGTCGGTCTGTGTGGGATTTAACTTCATAAAAATGAAGTGAACTTGAGTAATGTGAAAAGTTAATGCAATCAGTACAGATCCAAGTACACCCGATGTAATATTTATTTTCGTCAATATATGTATGTATGTATGTATTTAAATGATATAAAGTGGATATTCTTAAGCGTTAAGCACTGAATACGAATAAAATCGGTCTAGACGTAAGGAAAGTGCCTTATATTTAATATTTTGATTTCCGTTTCTCTGGTGAACTTTTTCGTAATAAGCCTAGTATATGAAATTGAGCGAATTTGATTGAGTTTATATCACATATGTATGTATTGTATATAGCGTTTGAGTTAATTAACTAAGAGAGCATAAAACCTAACTATAATATAAGTTACTAATATATCAAATATGATTGTAATCCAGCTGAATAATGCTGAATTCTATCGCAACATTTTTATACTCTTGCAATAGGTTGCTACGGAGTATAAAACTTTCGTTCACCTAACAATTGTTTCTATCACACAGAACTAATCGAGATAGATATAGAGTTATAAATATAAATGATCAGATTCACGCGACAATTTGAAATTAGGTTGACTGTCTGTCAGTCTGTCCGTTTCTGCAAGCTGTAACTTTAGTAGAAATTTAAATATTATATCTTGATGAAACTTTGTACACACCATGTGAAAGTTGGAATGGATGGAATCGTCCACAGAAAAGTTTTAACTAAACTCCTCAATAAAAAACAATTTTTTACTTGGTAAAACAAATCACATTGAGAGGCATTTGTGGTTTTACAAATTTTGAAAAACTGGACCCGCCCTCTAATAGGTGTAGTATACATATCTTCCAAACCACTTAAGGTAAAGCAATAAAAGTAGCTTAAGACAAATCTTTTCTGCACTCCCTTTGACTGTGTGAAAATGGGTGAAATCAGATTACTCCCCATATAACATTTATGTTGAAAACTACTAAAAGTGCGATGACTCAATAAAAAAATGCGTCAGAGACATTAAACTCTGCACCCAAGAAGACCAAAAGACCACAAAGTATCAAAAATTGGCGGAACAGAACCACAACGATGCCTACTTCTAAGATAATACCATTTTAATTTTTGATTTATGATTTTTTTACTTTACAGGATACAAATCAGACATGAATGAATACAAAAGGATAAAACTTTGCTCAATTAGTGCCTCTGAGGCAGGGTTGCGAATATTGCATTGAAATAATAATTGAAGTAACATTTGAATTAAAGATTTTTTTCATTTTGTAATGGTAGTCCCAAATACGGGAATAAAAACTAACAAAAAAGAAGTAAGGAAGGGCTAAGTTCGAATGTAACCAAACATTTTATACTCTCGCAAACTCAAATGGTATACTCGATTGAGATTTCTTTGTGGTTTGACCAATATTTTCGGTAGAAGGTCAACTATAGGCACTGGGGTCCACATATTTAGTACTTAGGAGCTTGAACAGTTTTGGTTCCATTTAGATAATTTTTGGTCACAGTTTTACCCCGATATAATCATTGTTGCTTGATATGCATAGTGGAAAGTGAATGAATCAGATGGAATTGAAAATGGTGTTATATGGGAAATAGGCGTGGTTGTAGTCCGATTTTGCCCATTTTCGCACTATAACATAAAAATAATAAAAGAGCGTTATGCACCGAATTTGGTTGAAATCGGTTAAGCAAATCCCAAGATATGGGTTTTCACCTAAAAGTGGGCGGTGCCACGCCCATTTACTAATTTTGAACGCGGTTCCGATAAAGTCATCTGATACCATCCCAGAGATAAAATTTAATGTCTCTGGCATGTTTAGTGCTTGATTTATCGCGCTTTTAGTAGTTTTTAACAGTACCGGTATATGGGGAGGGAGGGAGCTTGTCACTCGATTTCACCCATTTTCACACCGTCAATAGAGGTGCTAAAAAAATTTGCTTACAGTGAATTTTGTTATTATAGCATTAGTGGTTTAGGAGATATGCACATTAAACCTATTAGGGGCGGGACCACGCCCACTTTAAAAAAAATTTTTAACTGCAGATACCCTTTCCTAATGTTATCCTGTGTACCAAATAACACTCTTGTATCTTATTGCGGAGCTTAGTTATGGCAATTTATTTGTTTTTGATTATTGGCGTTTTGTGGGCGTGACAGCGGTCCGATTACGCCCATCTGCAATACCAACCGTCTTACAGTACCAAGAAACATGTATACCAAATTTCATTAAAATATCTTAATTTTTTAGTCAAGTTACAGCTTGCACAGACGGACGGACGAACAGACAGTCATCCGGACTTCAACTTGTATCTTCATCCTGATCATTTATAGATATATAACCCTATATCTAACTCGATTAGTTTTAGGTGATACAAACAACCGTTAGGTGAACAAAACTATTATACTCTGTAGTAACATGTTGCAAGAGTATAAAAATATAGTTACATATATATATAAAATCAGGTACACTTCATGTATAGTAATTACATTAACAATAAAAGTCAAAATAATCAGCTTGTTGCTCGAAATACCTAGATTTTACAAACAGTTACACAAATAATCTCTATATGTTATAATTTTTTGATACAATAAATAATATTTAGACAAGATTATGTAAATTTAATCTTAAGGAATTTTAATAATCGAAAAATATTTGAATATGTAATGAAAACATTGTTAAAGTTATAAATTTTAAAACATAACACGGCAACACACTATATCAAATTTGAGGCAGTTGGACGTTTTAGTCGTAGAAAATTAGTAGGCAAGCCTTGCCGAGCGTGACATTAATAAGATTTTTTTTTTTGAAAAACTTAAGATTGGTTACTTTTAGATTTATACAATGTGAAGATATTGAGAGAACACAGTAATCCACTTAATGCACCAGGGAAGTCGCATTCGAAATTTGGATTGCATTTACTTGTATGATTGTATACATGAATACCTTATAGATTTATATCACATTATCGACTGAATAAAGGCGCATTTGGGTGTTAAATTACGTTTTGTAAATCCTCTCAAAATATCTGGATTTTTTCCATAAAATTAATGACATTTTGTGTTTTATTCTTACATTTTCCACTACAGAAATAAAAATAAATTAAATCGTAATATTAATATAAATTAATTTCTTAACTTACATTTCAAATCTGTCAACGACTATCCTCTTGCTTTGTTTCTGATAACAAAACCGATAAAATTGGTTTCCGTGGCACCCGAAAACCGATACAATTTCTGTTTCGAACGTCAAACCAATAATATCTGAATTCATGACACCTAATACATTTTTCTATCGGATTAAATTCTGATTCCGACAGCTATCAGACTCTACAACAGCCCTGATTTGCACATACCACATAAGTGATCAGCATGACGAAACGAGTTGAAATCCGTTTTTCGAACACCTGCTTTGATCCTTGCAAGTTGCAAGAGTGCGAAATGTTCAGTTACACCTGAACTTAGCTCTTCCTTACTTGTTTAATATAAAGTTTTGCCAATATCGAAAAATATTTTCCCGGCTTTGATCCTTACGAGAGTATAAAATGTTCGGTTACAACTTAGCTCTTCCTTACTTGTATAATATATAGTTTTTCCAAAATCTGAAGGTGTTTTGCCATATTTGATCTGTGAAATTGCAAGAGTATAAAATGTTCAGTTTCACCCGAACTTAGCTCGTTTTTACTTACTGATTATAGGTATATGTTAATTAGAAATTAAATTAACACACATACTTACATATATATTTCACATAAAACCACATACTTATCTTAAGTTTGTATATATTGAGTACCCTTTTCTATCATTGGTTTTAAGAACAGTGATATTTTTTTGCAGGCATAAACAATTTTTGTGATGATGTCCAATTTATGACGAAGCGTGAAGTGTCTTTTTACTGGCGGTTATGTTGGGCAGCTCTTACTCCATTATCAATGATCGTAATTTTCATATACTCGCTGACATCCATAGAGCCTCTGACTTATAGCGGCAAGCTGTATCCAGACTCTGCAAATAGTAAGGCTAATTTATATGTCATATATTCTAATTCACATAATCTTCTACCCGTATACTATAAGTACATATGTATGTATTAACAAATAAGGAAGGCCTAAGTTCGGATGTAACCGAACATTTTATACTCTCGCAAAGTTAAATGGATGGTATACTGTTTGTTTTTTACGATTACGGTTTGAGATTTCTTTATATATTTATTAGAAGTAGGAACTGTTGCCTCAGTTATTTACCTTCACAGTAAAATTAATTAGAGAAATTCGTAAACTAAGTTTAATCAAATTATGAGAAATCGTTCTTGTTTTTTGTGTTATACGCTAATAGTTGATTTTATATAGAATGCATTACAACTGTATTGAGGAGTATGAAAACAAATCGTTTTTGTCAATGAATAAAATTTTTTATTTATTATATCGATATTATCAGTAAGTCTGAAAACTTTAGTTCGAAATAGAGACACAAATACTGTCATGATAGCTGTGTACTGTCTCAACAGTAATTGCATTAACATGGGCAGGATCCATGTTTGAAAATGCCCAATCAATTTGTGTGCCGGTAGGTGTAGTTGAATATTCTACACCAAGCAGGGAACTAAAGGTTTTTTCTTGGAGCAGATTTCCTGTTGTAACTTCTGTAGACATTAAACAAATGATAAAATTTCCAACAATTTGCACATTTTGATTGCATACATAACTCAGAAGCAATGACTTCCTGAAGTTTTACAATTAAATGTCTGACAGAGAAAGCTGAATTTCTGTATAGAACCAGAATATTAATATTGAAACATTTAAACAAAACCGCTTCTAAAACTTTGCGGACTGAATAAATTTTCTTTACAGCCTTTATTTCTATAAAGCTAGCAATACTATGCTTTGCATATATTATAATGCCATGTTTATTTCTGTTGATTGTTTCCGTGCTATCTATCCTCAGCTCGTGAATTGGAGTAAATCCTGGTATATCAAAATTTTCGCAAGGATAACTCCAAGTTTTTTACATAACATAAAATATCTGAAGATATTTTTATTTGATTGTATTATTAATGTGAGCGTGAATACTCTAAACATTATGCAATAAAATTTGATGGCCTCATAAAATTGAAACTTGTTGTCAGAGCTTTATTTGTGTTCAATTCCCTCAGTTCCCTAAATACAGGATCCGATTCAGAAAATTTGTTAGGAGTAATGAAAGTTTCAGAAGTTTTGAAAAGTTTAACTCTTTTCACAATATTCTCATTTTCACTTATACCAATTCCTTTAAGTGAGTCTTTTGCAGTTGAAAGGATAACTTCAGTTGGGATTCGACTGAGCTTAAGGGCATTGAAATTATTTGCCTCTTCATTGGAAAAAAAAAAATAATGCAATTGCAAAGGCCTGATCCACCCGTTGTCTCATTATTTCTGTTAATTAAAGTATTTAAATAACTCCCACAAAGGAGACCCAACTAAAGTGCTGTATGCATTATTGGGATTAGGAAAGAATATCCACCTATCTCCAACAGGTGAGAGTTGCTTCAAACCACCAAACACTATGCTCGGTATACCACCAAAGGGGCTGTCTGTTTTGAAAATTTGTTTTAATCTCGCACCAACAGAGCTAAACATACGATCGCCTACCATCGATATTTCATCAATTATAAATAATTTTAAATCGATAAGTCTGGAATACAATGAATTAACTATGTCATTGCTAAGTGGGCTCAACTTTTGTTTTTAGCTGATGCATCAAATGTGTCAAATAGGTTCTTTGCTTAGTATTTAGACTTTGAACTTCCTCAACTGGAATTAAAGATGGTAGTTTAATGGGTATAATATTACAATCAGATTCAGTGCCATTATCTGTTGACTCGTCACCATGCAAGTCCAGCAAATTTATATTTGGGTTAATTTCTGGAAGTGTCAACACTCTTCCCTCATGTTTCACGATAGGCAGTTCATTTTGTGCACCTTTCTCTAAGTCTATTTCATTATAAAGACTTTCTAGAACATTTTCAAGTTCTCTTTGCTCAAAAACATAATATTTTCTTTAATTTTCGTTAATTAGAATACGATGTGCTATACACGTCTGCTCATTTTCGTTTTCAATAAGATCTTGCTGTTTATTCCGCCATGAATAGTAAAGCATTACCATTTCGCGGAAATACTCATATCTAGCCACATCTGGGTTAATCTGTCTATACCGAATTATACAAGGTGTGGTATAGTTTTTAACAAAGCCGCATTTACCTTTGCTATAGCTTCATTTAAGAGCCTAGAAATTCCCCAGTTAGACTTGTTAATATAACTAATTATACAAGGTGCTTTCCAAAGTAAACAGGACTTAAAAAAAGACAGAACAAATGATTTTATCGGCAAAATCAATTAATTTTATTCAAAATAGTCTCTTCCTGCTTTAATACAGCTTTTTGCACGGTCCCAAAGCATGTCGAACGAGTGTTTTAGCTCGTTGCCCGGTAGATCGATGAGACGGCGCATTATCGTGCAACAAACGCCAACTTCCATCTTCGCGATAGTCGGGCCGAGCACGTCGAATACGGCGCACCAAACGCTTCAAAACTCCAATGTAGAATACCTTGGAATCATAAAAACAAATCAGCATTGTCTTCACTTTTGACTTCTCCAGGCGCGATTTTTTGGGTTTCGGCTCATTTCTCATTTATGTCCTCACGACCACTTTGAAAACGTTGAAACCACTCGTGCACTCTGCTACGGGATAGGCAATCATCGTCATAAACTTGTTTCATCAATTGAAACGTTTCAGTAAAATATTTACCAATTTTAAAACAAAATTTAATGTTGGCTCTTTGTTCGAAGCTCATTTTCGCACCGATGACAAAAACATACTGACACTTAAAACGCATTACCTTTCGTTTCCAATAGATGAAATGTCATGAAATTTTTACTGGAAGTCAATAAAGGATAGCAGATTGTAACACAGTAGTGGACATATAGATGGCGCCACTAGAGTTTACTTTTTTACTGTTTATTTTTGCTCACACCTTATATATGAACAGCAATCAAATTCATCCAGTATATATTGGATATCCATATTTGCGCTATGGAGTTCCTAAATCTGATCCTGTAGTTTTCTTTTTAGAAAAATTTTGGGTTTTGATAAACTGGATCTAACAGCTAACAAATAGTCGCCAAAAGACATATTTTATCTCATATCAGACAGGAAATGTTCAAAATATTTTAAATTAGAAATGTCTTCTGTACTCATACGTTTTGAATTTTTCTGCAAGAGATAACAGTATTTAAGTTGAAGGCATTGGTGGATATGATATACCAAAATGACAAAACTGTTGTCCTCTTATTTCCCTAGAACAAGACCGACTGTGGTTATGCTTTTGATAACCCAAATTATTTTCTAAGTGACTGACCGAACCATCTGTAGAAATATAATTGTCAATAAAACTAATGACATCAGGGAATGTCTGATGATCTCGAAGGTTGATCCTGTTGAAACTCCAATTTCCAGTAAAACTTTGTGGCAAAATGTTCTGCAAAAATTCCGGCATTATCTTTAAAAAGCTTAAGAATTTGTCGATAGTGGTAGTGAAAATATCTAGCACAAGTAATCGCGTCTCTTCCGAAACATCTTTAGAATCAACAGTTTTAGAGAGGATGACCAAAAGCTCAATTGTTCCAAATGACAACTCTTCTGAATTATTATCTTAAATTATGTCAATTGGTCGTTGTCCTTCACCTGGCGCTATGACTAAATGGTTATAGTCCAAGTTTTTTGTAGGAATATTCAAATATCAAAAGTGTTTCTTGACCGCCTGGATTTAGCTCTGAAGGTAAAAAATTCGTGGGAATATAATTACCTGAAGGATTATCATGAGAAGTTTGTGCTACATGAAAAAATTTAACCAATCGGGAATCCTCTCCAGATGCAACAAACGGAACTTCCTCTTGGTTATTAAATTCTGAAATCCTCATTAATATATATATTGTGCTCATGCTACAGAGGGGTATTCACTAAGAATTGCAAAGCTTCCTTAATCTTTGCGTGGAGTATGGTATCGATCATGTAATCATGATTGTATTCCAAACACCTTCTTAAGTGAATTTGTCATCAAAGGACTTTGGTAGAGATGTCACAATATTGTTAACAAAAATTGGTATATTAACAACAGCACCTTTAAGAGAACTATAACTTTTATTTCCTAACGGACGGATTGTCATAAAAGACGATCTAGGTATTATGAGACGTTCTTCAATTGCGGTTAAATCTTTCAAACAATCCGGTATTACAGGAAAGTCTAGACCGTAAGCTAAACATATTTTTTGAACGTTCTTTTTAACCATCTTCCGAAGCAAATAAAGCCAACCAAAAAAAAATTGTTTAAAGAAAGCACTTTGCTGGTCAAGAAATCTAGTGTAACTGAAACTACTTGTACAAACACAGTGTAGTGATATTTATTATACTCTTGCAACATGTTGCTTCAGAGTATAATAGTTTTGTTATGGTATATATTTGTACACACAGCTTACATACTTTTGTATACCTACATACACCATACCATACTTAGATATTCACTAACATAATATGAAGTTATATTTGTATTTCAGAAATTAATAGTTTATTTCATTGTATTGCAATTAAGTGTTCGGAAAACCCTCCTCCCCTATGGTACCTATTTGAAAGGTCTCCTTAAGAAGGCTAAATTAACAAAAACTTACATATAATTACGTATGGTACACACATGCATATGTAGAGCAGGTATGTATGTTTTCTTTATTCTGTTTTAATATTTAAGCCTTTCATAAGCTAAACAACAGGGCCTTCATATTAAAATGTGTCGCAAAACTAAAATAAGAGATAGTAGCATATGGGGTCGCAGTTTATCTATTACCACATAGAAAGAGTCTTTTAAATCTAAATCTTTAGCCTTTGTGATACAACACTACTAACATTTATTTCATTCGATTTTTTTGCTCTATACAAAGTTCAGCCCTCTATGAAACTTTTTTACATTGCTGTCTAGTATATTTTATTATTAGTTCAACATGGTGGCGGACAAAATATACCTATCCACTGATTATCACCAAATATTAGTATAAATATATGTATAAGAAATCTGTATCTATCTCGGTTAGATTTAGGTGATGCAAACAACCGTTTGGTGAACAAAACTATACTCTGTTGCAACATGTTGCGAAAGTATAAAAAGATAGAATTCAACATTCATAATTCGATTATTATTTGGTATCTTATTAACTTTTTTATAGATCACAGATATTTTTAGTGTCAATACTATTTTTTCTCCGAAATGTTAACTTTAATGAAAAGAAGCTATTTAACTCAAACATGATATACATATGTGATATTTATAAACTGAACCAAAGGGGTTAGATTTAATATGTGGGGTATATGAGTTTGCTGTTGTACTAGAGGAGCGGAAATTAGTATATTAGGGTTATATGGTTTAAACAAAGGTCTTGACCAATTTCATTCATATGCATCGACAAACCACATTATTTTTAAGAAAAACTGTCCATTTAATTTAATTAAATTATCAAATTAACGTAAACAAGTATACCATAAGTAGTACATGTGAGCTGGGGAAATACGTGGACCGATTTCATACATTTTCGGCATTCAACTATTGTATATCTAATATTTTACGTTTATATAACATCAAACGGAAGTTTGAATTTTTTACGTAAAGTATGTTGGAGCTTTATACTCTTGCAATTCGCAAGAATTAAAGGCGAGGAAATTCCTTCAGGTGTGCCAAATCCTGGTATTAAAAAATGTTGGGAAAGAATTAAGCATCCATTATTAAGGGAAATCGTGATTAAATTACAATCAAATTTAGTATTTTCTTGACTTATATTAAGGGCCATAAACTTGGTCCCAGTTTTATTGCTATATTTTAGTTCGTGTCAGCGAAAATTATATAAAAAAGAACATCTTGAAGTCAGATATACACATGTATGAATGTGATATTAACTCGACCAGAGTGGCTAAATTTTATATTATAAGCTTATGTGGAAAACCTCAACCAGAGAATCGGAATTCATTCACATAATTTTTAAGAAAACTTATCCAATTAATTTTATTAAAATATCACATTTTAATAAACCGGAACGGTTTAAAGTCAGATGAAAGACGGATATATTGGGGATAGAGAAAGATATTAATTTTGCGTTGCGAAAACATACATCCCGAACATATTTTAAAGCAATTTTATGTATAAAAAATATATAAATACTCACTGACCGACATATTCGGCATAAAACTGGTTAGAATAACGAAAAGCATTATAAGTAGTATATGGAATTTGAGGGTAGTATTAACCAGATTTGATCAATTTTGCCATAACCATATACTACTAACATGACACAGACTAACAAAATGCTCCCACTGTTTAAAACGCTCTCTCATTTTCATAGAGATAACTCACATATTGGCCGATATATGCGGTATAAAGTCACCCGGATATTAGGTATATGATATTACCGTTATATGGGGAGTGGGCGGCTTGTCACCCGATTTCACCCATTTTCACACTGTCGATAGAGAAAAGCATTTGTTTTCAGTGCATTTTGTTATTATAGCTTAAGCGGTTTAGGAGATATGCATATTAAACCTATCAGAGAGCGAGACCACGCCCACTTTTTTTTTTTTAATTTAAACGGCAGTTGCTCTCTAATGTAATCCTGTATAGCAAACAACAGTCTTGTATCTTATTGTGGAGCTTAGTTTTGGCAATTTATTTGTTTTTGATTAATGGCATTTTTTGGGCGTGCAGTGTCCGCAACCGTCTTACGGTACTAAGAGCTATGTGTACTAAGTTTTATAAAAATATCTAATTTTTACTCAAATTAAAGCTTGCAGAGACGGACAGACAGACAGTCACCCGGATTTCAAATCGTCTCTTCATCCTGATCATTTATATATATATATCTGCCATATATCTATCTCGATTAGTTGTAGGTGCTACAAACAACTGTTAGATGAACAAAACCATTATAATCTAATACAATATGTTACAAGAGTACAAAAATTATGGACAAAAGATGTTGATGTTTTTGCATAACATTCTTTGCATACTTGTTATGTAATTTTACATTTACTGGTAGCATGTGTCAAAATTGTACAGTCTTTGAAATTTCCTTGCCAGCAGTCTTGCCAGTTCGAAAATTATAAGTGTGTTAGTAAAAAAATTTTACCTGAGCATGTGTCGAAATTTGTCCCTTTGGAACTGAAAATTTAGAGATCCCAAACACTTATCTATATGATATATAAAAATTCAGATATCGTCATGAAACTTTGTGCATGTGTTCCTTAGTCGAATTGGGAGGACGAGTTTGTAGATGGGTGTAATCAAACCATTGTAATAGCCAGAACTAAGCCGCAAATTAAAATAAAAACTGTAATTCGGTAGATGAATCGCAATAACAGCATGAAAACAATTAAAATCGGATGATAAACACGCCCACTCCCCATATAAAGGTTTTGTTAAAAACTACTAAAAGTGCGATATATCAATAAATCACCGCGTCAGAATAATGAAGTTTTATGTTCAAGATGGTAGAAGAGTGCTTTATAAGAATCGGTCAAAATTGGACGAAGGACGTGGCACCGCCCACCTTTAGGTGAATTCCCATATATCCGGACCTGTTACATGTTACAGTGCGAACCCATAGAACTCAATTTTAAATTTCATCTGATTCTTTCACTTTCCAGTATACAAATCAATAACCAATCAATATACGCATAAAAACTTGCATGAATAGTGTCTTTGAGGTGTGCCACCTTAAGACTAAAACTTGTCCAAATCAGAGGAAATCTATGCAAGCTTCCAACTACCGGGTATGTGGACCGCAGAGCATATGGCCAACTTTTTGCCGAGGATATCAGTCAATGTGTGAGATATATACTTGAAATTAATTCCTGATAATAGTATGTCGGTATGTCAAAAATGGGTTGAATTGGGTCAATATTTCCCTTATCCCCCATATACCAATAATTAGAAATTGAGGGAAAGTGGTTTTTTCTTAACTATAATTCTAACAAACCTTATTATATTAATGGCTTAGCGCTGAACATGAATGGAGTTGGTCTGAACCTTGGTCTTAACTGCACATCCATAATATCATTAATTCCGATCTTCTGGTTGGCGTCTTTAACATCAACTAAATATATTAAATTTAGCCTCTTCGGTTGAGTTTGTATCTCGTATGTCTCTTTTGAGAAAGTTTTTATTTAATTTTCACTGACGTGAAGTAAAATATTGTTATAACAAGTAAGGAAGGGCTAAGTTCGGATGTAACCGAACATTTTATACTCTCGCAAAGTCAAATGGTATACTCGTTTGAGATTTCTTTGTGGATTGACCGATATTTTCGGTAGAAGGTCAACAATAGGCACTGGGGTCCACATATTTAGTACTTAGGGGCTTGAACAGTTTTGGTTCGATTTAGACAATTTTACCCCGATATTATCATTGTTGCTTGATTTGCATACTGGAAAGTGAAAAAATCAGATGAAATTTAAAATGGTTTTATATGGGAAATAAGCGTGGTTGTAATCTGATTTCGCCCATTTTCGCACTATTACATAGAAATATGAAAATAATGTTATGTACCGAATTTGGTTGAAATCGGTTAAGCAGATCCCAAGATATGGGTTTTCATCTAAAAGTGGGCGGTGCCACGCCCACTGACTAATTTTGAACGCGGTTCCTATAAAGTCATCTCATACCACCTTAGAGATAAAATGTAATGTCTCTGGCGTGTTTAGTGCTTGATTTATCGCGCTTTTAGTAGTTTTTAACAGTACCGTTATATTGGGGGGTTGTCACCCTGTGGGTAGAGGTGCGAAAAACATTTGTTCCCGGTGAATTTAGTTATTATAGCTTTAGCGGTTTAGGAGATATACTTAATAAACCTATTATTGGGAGGCACCACTTTTAAAAAAAAATTTAACTGCAGATGCCCCTCCCTAATGTGATCTTGTGTGCCAAATAACAGTATATATATATGTACATATATACATACCTTAATTGCAAAATTTAATTGCTCAAAAAATTCCAATATTTGACTTATGAATCGTAATAAAGAGTTTGGTATGTTAACTATTAACTTTCTTAAGAGAAGCACCAAAATCTTTACTTACATATATTCTTAAACTATAACTATTAATATGAACTCAGTACAATACTTTATTTATAGAGATTATTATTATATTTTAGTTTCGGGATGGATTCTATTTACGATTGGGATGGCTCAATTTCCTCTCTGGGCTATATGGAGTGTTTCTACTCATTGGAATGAGGGAATATGGAATGTAAGTTTTCTAGCGCTATAACAAATATTATTTAAAAAAATGTAATGAACAAACTTTATTATTTTAAAATTCTAGTCAATTCGTTCTTCCATCAGATCAAGTTCTAAATGGGGTCCTTATAAAGAGAGCAATAGAAATGATTGGATTGCATTCAAAGCCAAATGTGCACAAGAGAGAGCAAACCGAAATGACAAAGGGAAAATAAAACAGTTATATCAAAAGATTCTCCATTTAATTAGGTCTCCATAATAAAAAAGTTATTATGATAAACAATATTTGTATAACGATACCTTGATGTTTAGTTATTACGTAGTATTGAAAATAATCATATTAAACTTAAGGTTATGCAAACTGCATATATATTTATACGATCTAACTAATTTTTCGTTGAGCTCTGGTCGGACTGGCACGTAAGCACATTCATTATAATTAGTATACTCACTCGAAAAAAGCCGGATATAGATAGTAGATAGTATAGACTGTGTTAACTCAGAAAATCAAAAACTGCTTCTCTTTTTTAATAAATCATCGAAAGCAAAAAAAAAAAACGTTTAAGTCAAATAACTTTTGCTTCATTTTTTAATACAATTTTTAAATATTCTATTCATATTCATATATATATATTTATATATAATTATTGAGGTAAGAATTTTCAAACAATCGATTTCTTTTCATTTTTTCTTCTTAATGTATATTTAAGAATACACACAGAAAATTTCATATCGTTCCGGTGAATATTTTCGAAGTTACACGCAAATTTGGCGTTTCAGGTGTTTTCAAAGTCGGTGACCAACATTACTCGAAAAACGGCTAAACCGATTAGTCTCAAATTTTAACACGAGCTTTTTAAATATATTTTTTAGTAATTAATCGAAGATTTTTTCTCTCCGATAAATATTTTTGTTTTTCGAAGACCCGCCATTTTGTCAAAAAATTTTATTTTGCTTATTCCTTTGATTAATTACTAGATTTAACATTACTTTAACGAAATCTGTTTGGTTTTTTTAATATCAGATGATCCAGTTTAGTGAGATACACCGCAAAACGTCTTTTTTGAGAAGAGCTCCGGAGATCAGCTGTAGCTCTTTTCCAAATAAAGATTTTACTAGTACTAAGTCTTAAAATATAGTTAAAAGATACGTATATAAATTTTTAGATCAATAAATTTAAAAGTTTTCTCAGAAAACTATTTTTGGATCAATAAATTTAAAGTTTTCTCAGAAAAACTTCTTCACTTTTTTCGGTCTTCTAACTAATTATAACCACTTGATACGGATTCACAAAATATATATCTTTGCAGTGAGAATATTTTTTTTTTTGTTTCAGAGGAGGTTGAGAAAATTGCCTTCTGCATCGTCATTGTGTCGTCACAGCAATGGTATGTGCCACATTCAGTTCACTAAAAAACTCTCCTCTAGGGAACCGTCGCCCCCCCTGGAACCGCTTACGTATTACTTCAAGATGGCGTTCCATATTTTCCCATTTTTTAATCCGTAATACGTTTTCTATATAATTTTTCACGTTCTTCCAATTTTCCTCGTTTTTTGCTGCGTTTGTCAGCGTGTGCATTTGAGAAGTATGTGTTCAGTCGTCCTCGGTCGCGTATACAGGACGGCTCTTCGACTTCTCCCATTTTATATAGATACTTCCTAAAATATTTGTGCCCGGATAGCATATGAGTAGTGTTAAAATCCACCTCACCATGTTTCCTGTTGGACCATTCTTTTGTGTTTCGGATTAGCCAGACCGTCCATCTGCCGTGGCGTCATTGCTCCCAGCGAGCTTGCCATTGTTCCAAGGTGTCGTTCTTTATTTCATTTTTTGTAGCGGCAGTATCTGTTCCTTGTTTCTTCAACGTCCACATTTTCCTTCGTTCGAATGCTAATAAGTCGATGGGTGTTTTTCCGCTTATTACATATACAACTTGCCCGATATGCCGATGCTACCCTTAGAGCAGCTGTGCGATTCACTTTCCGAGGGATTTGCGTCGATTATTTTTCCTAAATTTTCCGTTTTTCTTGTCTCGGTCCTCCGATATTGGACACCAGCCTGCTCAATTGACTGGTTATTTTAGATGCTTTTTCCGCAGCGTGTTGGATTTGTGCCCAGTACGTTGTCTCTCATGTTACCCTCATGTCTATTATAGTCGGAATATGCTTCTTTGTTAACAGTACCAGCTCGGTTTTTTCAGTGGCAAGTTTGAGACCTTTCGCATCAAGCTACATTTGTGCTCTGATCATCACCTGGTTTAACTTCCTACGCGCTTCTTCGGGGTCTCTCGCAGTGCTTATCGCGACGATGTCGTCTGCGTAGCCAACTAGGTAAGTATCGTCGGGCATATCGAGGATTAATATGCGGTCGTCACTAATGTTCCAGAGGTCTGGGCCGAGAATTGATCCCTGCGAGGCTCCTGACGTGACCTTCAAGTGTCGTGGTCCTTCAAAGGTTTTATACAGCAAGACTCTGTCTTCCAAATAGCTCATCACCATTATGCTGAGATATGTGGGTATTTTAAAGTTTTCCTCTAATGCTTCAATCATGTTTTCCCATCGAGCGCTGTTGAAGACGTTCCGAAAGTCAAGGGTTGGGAGTAAAACAACTCGTACGACTTTGTTGCATCCTCTGTGCGCTTTTTCTACGCTCCTCACAACATTCTAAAAAAGCCGCCTGCCGTCGTGATTGCTTCTTCTATCCTTGGTTTCATCATTCTCTCGGGAAGCTTACCGGCTGTGTCAAGCATGCAAAGAGGCCGGTATGCTGATGGGCTGTCGGGATCACCATTTCCTTTACTAATTAACACGAGCTGTTATTTTTTCCAAATTTCTGGGAATACGCCGGCTTGAGGCAGGTATTAAACAATCCGAGTATCACGTTTGGGCGGCTTTCGGCGATTATTTTTAGTGCCTCTGCTGGTACACCGTCTGGTCCGGGTGCTTTGTTTGGTTTAAGTTTTTTTGCCGCCGTTTGCATTTCTTCGATGGTGAAGAGGGGTGTTTCATGTGTAGGAAATAATTATATGCGTTCATATGGAGAGGTGGGGTCCGACCACTACTTTTTTCATAACGAATTTATACCCTAGAACCCACGGGTTTATGTTTAGGTCGTTTCGAAGCTCTTCCCATTTTGCTTTTTTTGCTAATTTCGATAGCCCGCTTTAGTTCTTTCTTCGCGTCGTGAAGATTATACAATTCTCCAAGTCGCGGTAGTTCCACTGCTGTCTTCTATCCATATTCCATTATGTTTTCTTTTGTACTGCTCGCTTATAACGACAACGTCGTAATGGTGCTTCGTTGTCATTTGAGTCAGGAGTGCGTTCGCTGTTTTACTTCTGTGCATGTTGGCTTAAAGAACTTTCATTTGTTTACGAAGTCTTTTAATACCGTGCATTTACTTAAGCCCAGTAGGTGATCCATATGGCTAAGTTTGGCCTCTGTGTATATGCAGCAGGTTGGAAGCTTGAGGCACTCTTTAAGCCTATGCCCGGTTGGCCGCATTTTATACATATACTTTGCCCTTTTCTGTCTGGCCCCTTGCAATCCCAAGCCAGGTATCCTGGCAACGGAAACATCTTTTAATAGATTGCTTTAGTCGTAGTCTGCAGCTAATCCATCCGATTTTAACTCTGTCTTAGCATTGTATCTGCTTTAGTACATGTTATGTATGCTCTGACCTGCTCTCTACTGTTGGGTGGAGAGATGTTTATTTTCGGGTCAGGCACTGGTTCTCCAAGAGCGCTCTCTATGACTTCTTCCTTTGTCGTTAGGGCATGGAGATCTCTAGTCTCCACTGTGGTCTTTGGTTTAAGGTTGGCTACTGATGCACTCTCTTTTAATGTACTCTTTAGAGATTGGAAGAGATTCGAGCTTTCCACCTGGCCATTTTCTAGCTTAATTAAAGTTCCTTTTATTTATTAAACCTTTTTTATATTCGAGAGCATGTAAATTACTTAATGAATCAGAATTGCTGTGAGCAAGTCTAGACGACATCTGAATAAAAGCTTTACAAAGCTGCTGGGCCCGTCAGTTTATGGAATTCAAATACATATAAAATCGTCAATTCGTCTAGGTCAGCTTTGAGCTCGCAGGCGAAGATAACTTCACTGCTTTCACATGTACGCAAACCTGTATACAGATGAATGTATGTATATGTAAGGAATGCATAGTAATAGGGTTGACTTTTATACTAGTTTCGTTCATCTAACGGTTATTTGTATCACCTAAAAATAATCGAGTTAGATATAAAATTATATATATGTATGATCAGGATGATGAGACGAGTCGAAATCCGAGTGTCGGTTCGTCTGTCCAAGCGATAACTTGAGTAAAAATTAAGATCTCTTAATGAAACTAGGTACACGTATTTCTTGGCAAAAAGTATGGACGAGTTCGTAATCGAATCACTGCCATGCCCACACGTAAACCTATAAATTGCCACAATTAGCTAAATTAAGATTTAGAACTGTAATTTGGCACAGGGGATCGCAGTAGCTAGGGGCACTTGTGGGTTAACAATAAAATATCCAAATGCTTAACCGATTTCAACTTAATTATGTATATAACATTTTTTTAACATTCCTATATTATGGTGCGAAAATGGGTGAAATCGAACTACATCCACGCCTACATCTCATATAACACAATTTCAAATTTCATCTGATTCTTTCACTTTCCACTATGCAAATCAGGCAACAATGATTGTATCGGGGTAAAAGTTTGTGTAACTAATGCGTTTATACAAGTAGTATGCCAACTTGTGACCAAAAATTGTCTAAATCGAACCAAAACTGTTCAAGCCCCTAGGTACTGAATATGTGGACCCCAGTGCCTATAGTTGACTTTTTACCGAAAATATCGGTCAATGTGTATGATATAATATATAATTGAAATTCATTTAATTTTGTGTTCAATAATTGGTTTTACTTGTAGTGTTTACATTTTGTGGATGGTCTTAGCTGAATGATATCAGTTACTTAAATAAGCAAAGATGCTTATTAAGAGGCTATATAATTGCTAAGTGCAAAGATACAGTTTTGTTTATCATTAGCGTAAAGCTACTCTGCGGAGGTTGCCATTATCCAAAATTGTGTTATATGGTATTTTTTGAGATTCTAAAATTTTATTTATTTTGGAAATTTTATAAGATTTTTTAAATTTTACAATCTTATAAATTATGTACATTATTCAAAAAATTACAATCATGTACCATAAAAATGAATGATGTTTAAAATCAATTCATTCATTCATTCATTTATAAGTTTTGGATACTTAATATATATAACAATTACATTTTTATTTTGTAATACCATTAAATCAGTTATAGTCAATCGTCCATGTTCATTTTGAATTATATTTTTTATCTCATCTAAATGTAAAATCGTACT